AATTTAATTGTTCTTATCTCACTCTTTCCGCATCCTGGACATTTCGCTTCCTTGGTAGTTTTCGATTTGTTTGTTTATTTTTCTCAATTTGCCCCTTATTTCGTCTTGTAATTTGCTGTTCGTTCTCCGCTTTCCCTATTCAATTCCTCAGTTAACTTTTGATTCTGTTCTTTCTAATTTCTTATTCGTTCTTCAGTTGATTTCGGATTCTGTATTCTAGTTTCCTATTTGTTCCTCATTAACTTTTTGACTCTGTTCTTTTCCATTCTTTTCTGTTCTTCGCGGCGTTTGTTCTGTCCCTCCAATATCTTCATTCATCTGCATCGTGTTGGATGGGTATTTACTCGGCTCCCTCGAATTTGAATTTCCTGGCTGTCTGGTTCATCGGCGTCGATGTAATTTTACATTTCATTGAAACAGTCTCCCCGACGTGTCATTTATTGATTGTCGATTCCAATACTTCCTGTTTTCCAAAAATTACTTCAGATTCTTCATCGTTTTCATCTACTCTTTCCACTCATCCCGATCATCCATTATGTTCGGCCTCCATCTTATAATCTTGAATCTACTGTTCGTCCCCAGGTATCCGTAATGTTTACACGACTTTCTACTACTTCCCAATGTCTCTTGCACTTAAACAACCGGCCTATCTCGTCTGCCTACTTCGACACGGTACGATAATTACCCACTAATCAACTGGGCCAAGCGCTGCAAACACAGTGCTCTTTGCTGTAATATCGTACCGTTATATTCAACCCATTGTCCTAGCAACCTCATTACTTCGAATATTTCAATAAAAAACACAGTCCCAATACCATCTATACACAAATAACTATTTCTAATGAAAAATTTCGCCACAGTCATAATAAACAATACACAAGAATTCTGCCTCAATCGTATACATCCAACAAATAAAAATATTATACTGGTAATAATTCTTTTTTAAAAATTATTAACATCAAGAATTCAAATTGGTGCAAATTCACTATATGATTTCACTAATTTGCATTCTCTCTACTGTACTCCACATATTTTGCAACAACCAAACACCCAATTTAGTTTGATACCTTCTTTGTAAAATTCCTCACTGATAATACATAACATTCAAATGCCCTTTAAACATAGCATCACACTTTTTACCAACGACATATGATTTGCTTTTGGTTGCCCTCAAATAATGATACTATCTACTGCTTACAATTATTTCCAGATCTACTTTGTTGCACAATTATAATCTGCTAGTAATTTCTATTCGCAATATACTTCTTTTCCTTCCAATAGCAATTTTTTCAACAACTTGCATTATTAATAGTTTACTAATAAAATTACACTCCACATACTTAATATTAATATCCTCAATCAGTTTATCACACTGTAAACTTTCAATGTTTTTGTTCAACTCCCTGGAGCCACATTTCTTTAAATACCAGCGAGTCATATGTTCGGGCGCCAGCTGTGACGTACCTGGGAAGCGTCTTTCACGACAATAAATGTGCCAAGGGAAGGTACATTTTTCGTGAATGGGTCTCAGGAATGTGGTGTGCATGTTCGATCAAGACTAACGGTTTATAGCGATTCTTTTGGCACATTCTAATTATTTTAATGATCAAAAACACAACTCTTACAAATAGTATTTACAAATCGCAATCCGCAGGCTTGGAAAAAACAAGTGCACGGTCAACGCTACCTTGATGTTTTAAAACCACCCTGCTTCTCTAGAGGCGACGCGGCCGTCGTGGCAACGGCGGGTGTCTCGGCATCTCGGTTCGCCCCCGAAGGTCCGCGGGAATTCGCCCTCCTTCGCGACCAACTCCTCTGTCAACGTACACGGCCGATGAATTCGCCGGGATCACCCCCCAGCCGTTACGATAATGTCTCACGGGTACTGGAACAGCAGACGCGTGAATTGTGTTTTGTCGGCATTCTAAGTCTTTTAAGCGACTTTCTCCACTTTTGGCGCGATGTTCGTAAAGTTGCCCCATCTTAATATTATCCAGGGGCGGGAATATGGACACGAGTCATCGCCACACCGATTCCTGTCTTATTGGTTTTATCAGTTCTGGTGGCGAATTCTACTTCCACTAATCATCTGAATTGTTAATCCTCATCAACCCGGTTCCACACTCAACCGGCCACACTCAGTTCCGAGTGCACTTACAACGACATAATTCTGAACGCAGCACTGCCCGTCGGCTTCACTCGAGCGTCTCGGCACCACTACCGTCGCTCGCCCTCGCCGTATCCTCCCGATTTGACCGTTGGTGGTGGCGGCGTTACTGGCGCTGATCAACTCCAAGTACTTTATTTTAATTTGTAATTAGTGATTCATTTTTAATTGTTCTAATTACAGACACGTTCTTAGTTTCAATAATATATATATATATTTATATATAATATATATTTATATATATATATATATACATATATATATATTAATCAAGGATTTTGGTCGTGAAGCGAGCTTTTAAAAATCTAGGGAGCAGGTCTTCAGATGCGAGAAAGGTTTGGAAACGCCTTGACGAATAAAATCAACACAGATTGCACACAAACAAGCGTATAATTTACCATAAACTTTTTAGTGGCATAAGTTTAATGACAGAACCAAGAATATAGAATACACTTTTACAAAGAATAATCAACCACAGAATAGAAACCTTTCAACTCACATCAATACGAATGAACATAAATTAACTTGAAGATTGAACTCTGAAATAATTACCCTAACCACATGGGATTCCTTGGAAAATTATTATATCTAAATTTGTGCTATTCCAATTACATTGGCACGTGAATCAAAATTCAATTTACAATCTCCTGCTAACAATGCAAATATTACATGCAAAGAAACATGTGGTGCAAATGCACTACTCCATTTATTTAACTGTGTCTGAAAATAGCAAATAATACATGTCTAAGAGAATGTTTTAGGCAGGCAATAGCGGCATCAAAATGTCTCCACTATAATTACTGGCAGTTTGTTCCACTCGTGTCCTCAAATTCTTAACTTTCCTATACAGTTTTTCCCTGCCGACGTGAAACGTTGACTATTTCCGCGGTTCCTATGTTTACCTCGTTGACTTCCACTTTTGCCCTTGATGGTCGTGCGCTGGTCGCATGCGTCGACGGGCCGGTTCGGTCCCAGCTTTTCTGCTTCGTAAAGAGACGGGATTCGCCTCTGCGTGTTGCGTTGCCTCTTGCGTCCTCTTCCGTTCTTCCTCCAGCCGTTCCGTCTTCTTCCTCATGTGCCTGGATCCTCGGCCTCCTCTTCTTCCTCGTCTGCTACCGGGAGCCTCCGACTACGCCCAGTTTGCGAATGTCCCTTGCCTTTACCGAATACTGCGTGCAATTCTCGCTCGTTGCTACTTTTCCTTTTAATGTTCTTCACAACCGGGTAACTTTTACTTTCGTATTATTAATTGAAGAACACTTACTCGATCTGCAGCTATTTCGGCGGACGACGGACTAGAACGTTCTGTTCGAACGCCGAATACTCCTACCTAGTAAGTCGTTGCAGCGGCAAACAATATTTAATGTTTACACGAAAGTGTTGGACTCCGGCGCTCGGTGATACGAGACTGCTTACTCGGCGCCGTGGTAAAAGAGGCTGCTTACCTCGACGCATGGTGGAGAAAAAAAGAGCTTCCGCTTGCGGGTTCGCGTTTTATCGCGCGGGCTGCCTGGGGAAATTCTCGTGTGGGCTGCTCCCTCTCTCACCTTCACAATGGAAAACTTGCTTGCTAGTTTGCTTTTCGTTTAGTACGGGCACGGATACCAGACGACGTTTAAGTACTCTGCTTACGCGTCTGTTATCACTCGCTGCCTCGTAGTGTTCACACATGAGACGGTGGTGTTATGGGGTTGCACAATCCCATAACGCCACAATATATATAATGTATATGTATATATTCGGAGAGAGTTTATGAATATTATTTAATTGTGTAGGCCTTCGGTCCTTTATTTGACCCCCTATTATCGAATAAGGCACATTAGCATAAAATTGGTTATGCCACACGTGAGTCAGGAATGTTAAAATATACAGACGGTTTTAACAGTATTATCACGTAGAGCTTACTTAAGTATTATTTACTATTTATGTTAGGCTATTAGTGATTTTCATTTAGTTAGTAAAGAAACTCTAAATAATGTGTGTGACGTATGGGGAAGAAGTACCTTCTGTGCAGGTTTTCTTGAGCTCCAGAATCTCTTTCCAACGTTTTAACTATAAGAAGTTTAATGATAAAAAAGCGAGCTTAGCAAATTTGAAAACCTTACATTTTCTCTCTCGAGTTAGATACACTTTTTATATCAGTAAACGAACTGTAAATTTGATTCATTTTGTACTGTTAATAAAATTTGTAACCGATACCCTTGGCCCTCCTCCTATTATCTACCTCCTACAATCCGGCCCTACTCCTCTCCAAAAGAAGAGCTCAATAACACGTGCGCGTATTGAAGCTACAGTTATGTCCAAAAGCAAAATAAGGGAGCATTAGCGCAGTGGATTAGGGAAACTGGACAAAAACTTGCGACACGGGGTCTTTCATCTGGAAGCTGAAGCGCATTACTTGTTACAGGCATATTAAGACAGTTTCAAAATTATACGATACAAATGAAAATTTAATTATGTATTATTGTTAAATAATATTTTTCTTTTTGATGGTCAGTGTAGTCTCTAATTGTATAGAAACAGTTATGCAGTAGAATAGATTTTACTTCCAACTTAAATGTATGTTCTGATTTTAATTGTTTAATCTATTGATGTATTTAGGGGCGCTTAGAAAAAACAATGGGCCTGGGGCATTAGATCCAGGGGGCCCGTTTATTGCAAACAAAAGTTCCCCTTACACGGTGTATGTTATTAAGTAGTTAATTACGTTTCAACTACAGATAAATATGTTGTTTTAAATGTTTTGAAATAAAATGTGTACATTTTCGGATTCCCACATCCTCTGGATGTCCCTGGATTATTTACTTAATAATATTTTTCTTGTCAATTTTAGGCTGACTTTCGATGATGAAAACTCCATCTTGAGTCCAGTGACAACTTCTGTCGGGTATGTATAGTTGATTAATAAATTAGCGGTTGCGATGATTAGACTGATTATGTGTAGATAATAACTGTGTTCCCCGGGAATTTATGTATTGCAGTCTCTCTTAAATGGAATAATATTGCCCTGCTGTATCTTGTTTGAATCAGCACTGTTGCGACAGATACTTCAGCAAGTGAGCTTGAAGTATCTGATGTTTTCAGTGCCGCGTGCGTGAATGCATGCGTGAACAGTTGCAATAATATCTTCCCATTCTGTGTTTCTATTTGGACACGAGTCTTCGATTACCTTCTTTTGCTGGTTACATGATAAATTATACATCCAGTATAACGTAACTTTGACGCATTTTATGATGGCAGATACAACTGCTTATTCTTTTATTAGGATATCATCTGTCTGGAGTGAAAACCACACAAGTCAAAGTTATTCGAAAATTGATTGTATAGGCTTCTGTGGCACGTCGAGGTGGGTCGTTCCACGTTCCTGACGGGGAGCATGAGGGGAGGGCCCTCAAGTATTCCTTTCTTCCGCCAGTCGTTTTTTCTTCTCCCCATCGTTCATTCTCGTTCTTTTCTAACATCCTGTCTCTTTTATTCTTCCCCTTCTATTTCACTGCCCCCTTGTATGCGGAATGCCCACCCGTATGTTTGCCGTGCATGGCGACCCGAGTCGTAGGTAATGTGTGATCTGGCGGTTGAGGATTTTTGTTGTGGGGGTATGTAGGTGCCGAGGGTTCGATCATACACAACAGAGGTGCATGGCGGATAGACCGGTGTGTCGAAAGTGCGGAAAATCGATGTACGAAGCTGAACACTGCTATAGATCTCTGCATTGTGTAAATTGCAAAGGTGATCATCCGGACACCTCCATGAAATGCCCTACATTTGAGGGAAAGAGAGATCCAGAAGATCAGAGTCGCTGAGGTGTCCTTCCGTGAGGCCAAATGTAGGTATCGGGCGTGTTGATTCTGTTGATCTTTCATCTTAGTCGGTCCTTTCCTAGCGCCGTGAAAGGAAAGACCTCAAAATTAGTAGCTAGCTGTCGAACTGAGCAAGATCCCCCCACCAATTTGTAAACTTTCCGTGTCACGTGTCCTTTGTGGCCTGCAAGGCGGGAGAGTCATGATACCTACGAAATATAGGAAACCTGCTGATAACGCTCAGTGATCAGAGTGTACAAAAACTTCTGTATCAAAGTATCTCCCAACGTCGATGCTAGATAGGTATCTGACACAGGTATCCACATTGGGTATCCGACTATTACGTGGTCTTCAAAGCCCCGACAATCTACAACTTCGGATGCTCATTCCGAGCAAGCATCTACCCCCTTCGGGACGAAAGAAGAAAAAAGAAATAACTTAATACAATCGTGGCTCTCCGATCATGGAATATGAATGGCTTCTCGTGACAGGACGATATGAAACTTGTTTCTTTATACGCCTTTAATTTTCTGTTTACCGAAGACGCGTCTTGTTCCACCACGCCTCCTAGGCTTTCGTGGTTTTACCACATAGAGGTCTGATGTTAATGACAGCCTCCGCGCCCCTGGTGGAGTTGCCACTTTAATCCACGACTCGCTCTCTACAGACGTTAAGAGTTCAGACCCAGCTCCAAACAGTATGTGCAGGTGCACCTCTCGTCTCTCAAGTTCACTGTCTGAACGACTGTTTGGGTCTCCGTTTTCCGACCGCCGGAGAGGGGTCCTAGTTTCCGCGCGGGGCGAGCGGCAGGGTAGGAGGGAATGGCTTTCGCTGCACCCACAATATCACGTGACATAATCGTAACCGTTCCAAGAACATCGGAGCGGCTAGTTCGCTTGTGGCAGGACCCGAGTGTTAACGTGTGAAAACCATTAGTTTCTCATCAAAGAGAGTTACTGATACGACTATACACAGCAAGTGTCGCGAAATCATTGCCCGTGTTATTCAAATATGTGATAAGGAGAAAGAAGTTAAATGTTTACATTTACCTTTAATGAAAGCGAGTGAAAGAGCATCCGAATACACAGGAGTTGGACTCACCACCATCAAAGCCATTCGGAAAGAAAAAAAAAAGAGGAATGAGATTAGCGCAAATCGGAAGCTCAAGTCTCCTGGTGAGAAGAGAAGAGTGTCACGTGGCAATTCTGTCCATGTTGATAGTTTCGACCAGTGTGTCATTCGAAATACGATTCTGGATTTCTTCATGAGAGAAAAGGCAGTGTCCACGGTGCTAAAGCTTCTTCCAATTATTAAGGACAAAATTAGTTTTCCTTGGGGCCCAAAATCTTTTTTGCGGGATATGAAATCAATGGGTTTTAAATGGAAAAGTTGACAATCAAAGCGGCGGGTACTGATAAAGAGACCGGACACAGTGGATTGGAGATCCAGATACATTGTTCAATTGAAACGATTTCGAGAAGAGAACCGAGATATCTATGTGGATGGGACATGGGTTGGTAACACCCTTGAATTTCAAAAGTGCTGGCATAGTGGTGAGGTTTGTGGTGTCCAAGTGATGGGAAATGCAACATGTAGACTAATAATTGTTCATGAAAGGGAGGGGGAATGGATTTCTTTGCGACACGTGTCTTTCGAGCAGGTAGTACTGTGGGAGACTACCACGGCCAGATGAATGGCATTAATTTTGAGAAATGAGTGTATGAAAAATCATTTACACATCTACCAGAGAATGCTGTTGTCCTTGACGATGCTCCATACCACAATATCGAAGTCAACAAGCCGCCGTCCGCATAATCAAGAAAAGCTAACGTGATTGAATGGCTTCAAAGAAAGGGAGTGCATTATGAAGAAAGTATGCGTAAGACGGATTTGTACCGATTAATTGTACCTCTCAAACCACGGGCAAAGCAGTACAAGATCGAGGAGTTGCTAGCGGCTCACGGACATACAGTTGTACGACTCCCTCCCTACATATGAGAGATGAACCCAATTGAACTTGCTTGGGCGAAAGTAAAGCGGATATTTAGGGAGCTGTCAGTTACCAAGTTGCAAGAAAACATTGAAACTGCAATACAAGAGGCCACCCTGCAGCACTGGCAAGGATTTTGCAGGCACGTGGAAAAAATAGAAAGTGATTATTGGGAAAAGATGGTATTATACAGGACATAATTAACGAAAAAATTGTTAATTTGGACTCCGACAGTGATTCATCAGAGTGAAGCCTGCAGATCATCATCAGATTCTGAATAAGGTAAGTTAGATACTAAAATCATGCAGGAAAAACGTCCACGATCGAGAAATAAAAAAATGTTTTCCGCGCGGCTAGCAGTACGTTGGCGGCCGGGCTGTCCTCCCCACCCCCTCCATTTGTGGGAAGAGGCCTATGCCCCTTGCGTCCCGCGGTCGGAGAACTCGGTCCCGGACAGCGTTGGGCTTGATATACTAACTGCCCTTTCCGTTTTTGAGAGTGCTTAAATGCCCACAGTCCTTTTAGTGTTCGTGCTGTACGTGCCCGAGAGGCGACTTCTTGGAATCGGTAGACCCCTTGAAAATGGTAATTCTGATTGCAGTTGAACCAATTCATTTCGCCACAAATTCAAGCGCGTGTATCGATGTGACTCTTTGCAGCCAATAACTTGTAATCGCCCTGCAATGGTCTGTTGTAGATGACCTTATTTGAAGCGACCATTAACTTACTATCATGTTCATTGATGGTCTTCATGAGTTGGCATGACCTCAATGGTGTGTATAACGTGCTGACTGGTCGAATTTCAAGGGAATGTCAGTGTGTCAAGAGGGCGTCTGTGACGGTGTGGACGAAATGGAAGCCGATTTGAACGGTGATGTAGTAGAAGCTGCAGATATTGCAATTCCCAAGTTGACCGCGACACTCCTATGGCCCATGGGGGGTCAGAGCCCGAAAAAAGGCATTGGCACACCTGAAGCACTATCCATCCGTGGGGTGCAGACCGACGTCGAGGAAACTCTTTCTAGAAAGCCAAATTTCATCGAGATCATGTCTCCTCCCTCAATTGCCATGCGCCAGCGCGTCTGGTACGGTGGAAGGTGCGTTAAATGAAGGGATATTCATCCCCAAATTCAGTGGCAGGTCTTAAGAATGGTGAGATGGTTACATCCCAGATTCAATTGTAGAGGAACTTGCCACTCATTATGAAACCATTATGAAAGACTTTCCATTGCTCAAAGAAAGGATGGAAACCGCGCTCTGGATTTTTCGAGCGGAGCACCTGAGGAGGATTACAATACTCTATTCTCCGTGTATGAAATGCGCGCTACTTTGGTGCTTGCGAGAACTACTGCCCAAGGTCCAGATGAAATCCATAACATAATGCTATTCCTGGTGAAAGCTTTCCATCCCTGCTATATGGCGAGACGCCATCATCTCAGTTCTGAAAGGAGGGTAAGATCGATCATTGCCATCAAGTTATAGACCCATTCTCTCACAAGCTGTGTGGGTAAAGTACTGGAATGTATGGTGAATTACCGGTTGGTCTTGTCTTTGGGATGTAGAAATCTGTTGACGCCAATCCAATGCAGGGTTAGAAGAAACCGCCGATCAACCTTGATCCATTTTGTTGCGTTAGCAACAGCAATCTCTACATCGTTCGTCGTACTCTACGCTGTGGAGGCAACATCTTGTGGCCATATTATTGCCCAGAGAAAAGGTCTATGACACCGCTTGGAGGTACGGCATTCTGCGAACCCTGCACTCCTGGAGATTTTGGGAGAAGCTTCCCGTATTCCTACAAAACTTCGTTTAGAACAGATCCTTCCGTGTTTGCTTTAGTGGCAGGCTTTCTAGTAGTTCCCCTCTAGAAAACGGTATCCCTCAAGAGTCTGTGCTGAGTGTCATTGTTTGCCATCGCCATAAATGGTATAGCGTTAACCGTGTGAGAACCTGTTAAGGTGTTAAGGTTTGTGGATAATTTGTCATCTTTTGTTCATCCAGCACCATCATTGAGATCCAGAGGCAACTTCAACTAGTGCTCAACAAGCACCGCGAATGGAGCATGTCAATAGGGTTCAACTTGTGTCCTACTAAATCTTCTGATGTGCTGCTGGTCATACCACTTGTATAGTGATTTAGTCCGTGATTTGGTAGGAAATCACCTTCTATGCGCAGTCTGCCAGGTTCCTTCCCAAGGGGGGCTCATATCCGCAAACTACAAAGCAAATGTCTCTCAGTTTTGGATTAGTGTAATGGAGTTCTCTCTTCGACCCATCAACAACATACACTATGCTCTAATCCGCCTCTCAAATGGTGCGTATCTCACCAGCCGAGTCGAGTGCCTTCTAGCTGAGGCTAGAGAGCACATCTTAAAAAGAAGGCGAGATATTCTTTTAGCGTCTTATGATGCTAATGTGTCAGGTCTCTTTACACATCCTTGTCGCCGAATAATTATCGATCCTGAATATGAGACCGCCGAACATCGCTACCTCATCCCCCAGGTATTAGATTTCAAAATCTTTTGCATGACCTTAATGTTGGTCTTCGCACCCCCTGTGAATCTCCCAAAAGACTCTCATTCCCCCTTGGGAGAGTCTGAGGACAATTTTCATCTTCCCTAACCAACTACTAGTCCTCTTGCATACCAGATGCAGTGTATTGGTTAATTATATCCGAACATTTATGTTAAAACGGAAAGCTCATTTAATTCAAAAGAATTAGTTACAATTTCGTCATTAATGAAATATATTGGCTGTCAACAATAATAATTGAAAGATTTAAAACTGGTGTATGTTGATATGTACAGGATTGTGCAATATGTGACTATATAATTGTGAGAAAAAGAACTTGACGAAATCATGAGCAATTCTATTGGTTTGCGTAGCATAATGTTCCAGTTCTTGATATACAGAATTAATTATATTTTGATATACCCATTTTAGGAATGCTGAAATAGATGATTCTGAAAATCAATCCTCTCCCAAGCGCAGGTATGTAACTGTACGTTTGTGTAAATTGATTTTTTGTTTTTAAGAGAAACCAGGAATTAAATCTAGATGCGCCTCATGTGGTGAAAGATGAATAAAACCATTTTTTCTATTTATTAGTTTTTTATGGTTGTTAGTCATTCCTGGCCCTCTTTGATGAAAACTGAATTTCTTCACATACGTCACACTTTTCGCTCTTCTTGCCAAGCACAGAGGCTTAGGCCTTTCGTTTGATACTTTGGTTTTCAGTTCCCTCCCTCCACTTCTTTCGCTTGCCCATGTTAGCTCACATGGACATGTGGACATTGTGCTACGGGACAATTCTTTTGTAATATTTAACTCTTTACAAAGCATGTTCTTGATAACTTATAATGTTTAGAAAATGAACAATAAGAATTTTCGAAATTTTAGACATTGCTTTTCTATCGGAATTAGATCCTGGAAACAATGGACGTAGAAATAGTTATCGTTGGGATTGGTTTTCTGATGATAAAACGAATGATGTCACCGATAACATTTGCATCAAATTACTGAACCACATCTTTGAGCCTTACAAAGGAAATGACAGTTCCAGAAAACAATGCCGAAATGATACATTTTGACTTTGCTATACGATGTAATGAGTAGAGAGTGGATTTATATGTACTTAAAAGCACCAAAATATGCATGCATTTATGCACCTAAAATCAGTGAAATATGCACAAAAAACTGACAATATGCACCAAAAACCTTGCAATATGCCCAAGAAATCTGACAATGTGCACAAGAAATGATAGTGCGTTATCAATAATTACTTCAAATATTATATTTAAATGATTTTTACTCACTCACTGTACAATTACTTTCACGCATTGTTGTGACAATATACAACTTATTGTTTTCAATGTTTTCTACTGATAGATTTTCTTTTGTCTGTCAGAACTTTTTTTGTAACTAGAAAATGTACGTCCCTCTTCACAAGAAGTTCCTTATCAGATATTCCAGTACTTCACATACATCACGAATAAATTTAATGCCGAGATTTCTGACTTCTACTTTTTCAAGCTTTGTTGCTACAGTTTGTTCAATGACACCTGGTATAACCTGGCTACTGAAAATGGCAAGGCCTTTTCTTCCAACCTGGTGATTGGCGTGAGCAAATTTTCAAAATAAATTTTAAAAAATGTCTACTTGCTCTGGAGACCATCAACATTGCACACTTTTGTAGCATCCGGTGCACTTGCAGCTACTCCTTTGTCCAGCGTATCCAGTACTTCCTTCATGTCCTGCAAATAGGCGCCGTAGAAAATGGCACAGGGTGACCACTTTCTAGAAAACTAATAATTGCAATTCCAGGGAAAACAGTTAAAAAATTCTCATGTTAAAAAATTTATTGTTGATGTAGAATTCGAGCTAACAATTATTCCCAAGTGATAATTATTATTTCTTATAAAATTATTTATAAGTAATTTTAAAAATTATAAGAATTTTTAAATAACTATTTTAAGTCGTAAACTAACAAATTACATGATGTACTATAAAACAGTAATGTATTTGAAAATTCCCGCTTTATCATGGTAACTATAACACAGCAAGCACTAGACGTTATGAGTGAGAGGAAAAGTCATAAGAGCTGAATTCATAGTCGTCACTTGTGGGGCAAGCGAACCCTGAAGTGATTAGTGCTTTCTCAAAAGAAGTGTTCACATACAGGCGCTCATATTTCATAGATGTTCCTTGTGACCGCGGAATGAGTTTTGATATTAGTATATTTTACTAATGTGATAACTACCCATCACTAATAACAAGCAGATTTATAACTATATAATCTACGATTCTTATATAATTTCAATGACTATTTGACACCGGTATCATGTTAATATTTTAAAAATGTATTTGTTACAAATCCCTAATAATAAGAAATGTTTGGTAAAAAATATAATCCATGAACCTCGTATCAAAACTTTAATGAATCTCTGCAATGTCTTGTGCATTCTCTACACATTCTTTATGTGCATTATTGGATTGTAATATAATACTTGACATCAGTTTCAATTGATTCCTCAATGTTAACTTATGCTCCAGTATAACTAATGAACATAAAGTGAGGGTATGGTAACATGGTATGGACATAAGTCTGCCAATGTTGGTAATGGATTATTAACATTTCATGTAATTGAAAATGTCAATCTCAAATAGTATTAACATAAATTCCATTTTTCAACAATTTAAATTACTTCACTTATTATTCATATTGCAAATTTATAATTACGTATAATACGTCTTATAAATCAGAAATGAATAAAAGTTAAAAATTTTGGAAACATTCTTGAAAGGATGAAGTTACATAACATCTTAATACGACGAGAACTTGTAATAAGAGGAAATCGGCAATCCTCTTTTAGTCATTCGGACTTCGTTGATCATCGGCACAAGTGTATCCACTACAGTAGTTTTATTGAAACGAAACCGCTTTCGGAATTGATCATCTTTCTACATTTCCAATAGGTTGCTCATATCTCTAATATATCTGAATTTCGTAGGATGTGTTGAGTATAAAACTCAAAGTAATATATGAAGTCGTTTTCCATAATACGTTTCCCAAATGATAGGTTTTAACTGCCTACACAATACAAACACCAGCAAAACGAATTTAATAGTCGGTGAACGCCGCGTAAAAATATAACCTAAACTGGTTTACGACTGACGATGCGAGTGAGCTATAAGGGGCACTTAAGGGAGCAGGCTGCCTTGCTTATAGGAATGAGTTCTTACTTAAGACTTCGCTCATGGGCGGTTTATGAATATGATTCATACACTTAAGGGAACACTCAGTGTAAGAGACGACTATGAATTTGGCCCATAAATCCAATTATTTTAAATTTGCTTCATTGCGTTCGTGAAATTTGTGCCCGCCTGTTTATAGTATCTAAGTTTGCACGCATAGGGGACTATAACTGGCGTTCGATAATATGACCTTAAACTGCAGGTGGAGAAAAAATGCCATCGTATTCGATCGAGACATGCTTTTCTATGCTCGTGGGGCCAGAACTAAGAAGAAAAACGCTATTGAGCAAAAGCGACAGGAAACGGAATTGGAGAGTGTCAATATGAGAGACCAGAAGAATAGTCTGGCTTCGGAATTCATAACACTGAATAAAGAAACTAGTGGTGCTTCAAATGGCTCATACTTTCTCGTTCTAGTTTGTTTCCTAATTTCTTTGGTCTGGATTAGCCTCATTCTCTATCCAGCAGCCCTGTAGCCATCCAAACTACATTTTTGTGAAATTTTCTCAATTTTTCGGTTTCATGATAGAAGCAAGATATTACTTAAAGAATATTACAGAAGAGTAAAACCTCTTCATTTAAGGAAATTTTCATTGATAAGTTTAGAGCTGTTTATGAGTAAATGGCATTTAAACGTTACTGTAAATGCAAAACTTGAAACTTTTTCACATAAATCTTTTGAATTTTCGAACAACGTTATTGGAATTAATTTGAAGCACTTCCACACTAAAACACAATAATGTATACTAATCGCTGAAAATGTGCATAATAAAGGCTGAGAGATATTTCAAAATTATTTCATTTGTGTAATTTAAAAAAATATAAGAATAAACAAAAATGAATTTCGTATCATCTTAAACAGTGCAATTCGCAGTATCCGGACAACAAGTTTGAAAATTTTGGAGCTGTTTTGAGAAATGCCTTTGAGCTTTTCTGAAAATACCGAATAGGAAATTACGAGTTAACAGTAAAAATTTGGACCAATGCCAAATGTATCTATTATTACAAGAAATTTAAAGAAAAAAATGGAGGATTTGTGAGGAGATTTTGAGAATGTCGCAAGGGTTTTATGTAAAGTACCCCCAAACATTGATAAATGATTTTCAAAATCTCAGTGCTTCGACTCGGGCCAGATTAACGGGTTTATTCAATATGGGGAAAAAAACATACGCGTAGTTTAGACGCTAGTGTTTTTCACAGACGGACGGATAGACGTTTTGACGTTAATTTTTCTGTATCAAGGATCTACAAAACATGGATTCTGGCTACACCACATGTTGGAGAATTTTTTAATGCGCTAACACATAGTGTATCCATGTTTTGTGGGTCTTGATACCGAAAAAAGTCGTCGATGCTGCGAAAAAAGGCGTCGATGATGTAACGGTTAGCGTACCGGACTGTTGTACCCAAGTTAGTGGGTTCAAACCCGATCGAAGCCGTGGATTTTTAAGGGTGAAAACATCCTTCGTACGCCTTCCTTCGGAGGGGAAGCAAAGCCGGCTGTCCCATGTTAGTAGATTTACTTGCATGTAAAAGATCAAGCCTAAATGACGCCTCTGAACTAAATTCAAATCGCCTGTTTCTCGCCCAAGAAATACCTCCTTTCTAGTTGGTGAAAGGAGCGTAGCGAAATTTGCGTGGTCAGGCGGAAGAGCGGGCCTGATGGCCCGAGACTCGCCACGTAAAATAAGGCAAATTCAATTCAAAAATCGATTGGCGTCAAAACGTCTGTCCGTCCGACTGTGAACAACGCTAGCGGCTAAACCTTTCAGTCGATCTAGCTGATGTCGCGGACCCTTGAATTTGAAATAATTTTGATTTGGGGGGGGGGGTACTTTACATAAAGCCTCTGGGTCATTTTCCAAATTTTCAGACAAACGACTCCATCGTTTTAGATGAAATTTTGTTGTTGAATAGACTGAAAGACTCTTAAGAAAATGGTGCATGTCTCGAGTTGGTTAAAAACCCTGATTTTTCGAAAACTGAAATATCCAAAATATTTTCGGCATCTTCCAACAACTACAATTATGAAGATTAACATTTTTCCCCTTATTGAAATGTCTTCATCGTAACAGATTTTTAAAAAAGCTTTTTAAATGAGTATTTTTGGGGACTTTGGTGATAAACGCAGTTGCTCACTCCAAATTTACTGTGCTTTGTGAACGTAATTCCACACAATTGGATGCTTCGTAAGTTAGTATTTCAATATTTTTTTCATATTTATTCGTTTATTTCTA